GCCCCTCTTGAGGCCAACTTCTCACCAGTAAGCGCGTTCGCCATGGACAGGAAAAGATGGTAATCACTTGGTGCCAGGTCCGGACTACAAGGTGGGTGCATTTGAACCTCCCATCCGAGCTCCAGGAGCTTCTGGCGAGTCACCAAAGACGTGTGTGGCCTGGCGTTGTCCTGATGGAACACAATTCGGCCTCTGTTAATCAAAGATGGCCTCTTCTGGATGAGTGCTGCCTTCAAGCGGTACAGTTGTTGGCAGTAGAGGGCCGAATTGAGCGTTTGGCCATAGGGGAGCAGCTCGTAGTAGATGATTTCTTGCCCATCCCACCAAACACACAGCAAAACCTTCCTGGCCGTCAATCAGGTCTTGGCCACCATCTGGGCCGCTTCCCCGAGCTTTGACCACGACCGTTTGCGCTCGATGTTGTCATAAGTGACCCATTTTTCATCGCCAGTCACAATCCGCTTCAGAAACGGGTCGATTTTGTTGCGATTCCACAGCGATTTGCAGATGGAAATTCGGTCCATCATGTTTTTTGCGTTAGTTCGTGTGACACCCAAACATCGAGCTCCTTTTTGAATCCAAGGTTATGGTTAAATGGTTCCAAACGGTTTTCTGACTTATCTTTAGTTCCTCAGCAATTAAATAAGTCGGTCTGTTTCCACTATTTCCATGATTTTATCGCAATTTTCGTTGTTGTTGTTGTTGTAGCGACAGAATTCTGCCGAGTTGACAGTCCTTGGCCGGAATAAATCCGGCTCCGTTCCGGTTACGTAGACCCGACTGTCGTCGACAGGCCTCCCGACGCGTGATGTACCTTTGACATCAAAATTACCGGAACGGAACCTTGCAAATCACTTTTGTGCTACACGTTCGTTTACAGTATCGTGCCCATAAACTAAATTAATGTTTTCAGCCGCTTTGGCTGCTTTTTCGCTTTGATCGAAGAAAAATTGTAAAATATAGCGAATTTTCTCTCTGTTGGTGTCCATCTTTGACGAGCGCTCACTGAGCTGAACTGAGTAAATCAATCGTCAAAGCTGTCAAAGACAAACTTTTAGCACGTATAAACACGTTTTCAGCGCCGTATAGTATGACATGATGCGACACGTAACACTAGTACTATGGACAATAACGCCATCTCTTAAATAAAAAGCGAACGAACTTGACCTAATATTTTTGCTAACTGCAACGCTTCATCCTCGTTTCAATTTTTTGAAAAGCGATTTTTGCAAAATATAAGTTTCTACCACTTCAGAAACGCACTTGATATTATAAAAAAAAATTATAGAAATTTGACATCTACTCTAGACCGTTGAATTCGAGATCCAATAATTCGATGTCAGTACTCTGTTCCTCAAGACCTTCCCCTTGAAGTTTTCGTAATAATATACCTAGAAGAAATGAAGTATTACATACCTAATCCGAGCAATTTACACATTCAAGATTACAAAAATTCATATGAACTGAAACTCGGGAAAATTGCTCAAAACATAATTATAAAAGAAATCTCAAAAGTCCGCATAATTCTGGTATGAGCAAAAAACTCAAAAAATGAAAACAAAATTGTAGATTACAAAATTCTCTACAAAAAATAGATTGATACCTAAGAGCCACCATTTTTGAGACATAACGCTTTAAAAAGTTGGATAATTTGTAATCCTCATATTTTGCACATGTTTCCACGCCACCTATGAGGTAGTTTATTTAGCGCGATTTTTTAACGTGGTTTCCACAGTAGGCCTGTTCCACGGGTCGTCTGAGATTCTATTTGTTTTAAAACCATTGCAAAAAATATCATTCATAATGGTTGGTAAAAATGGAGGCCGTGTAAAAATAAAAAAAAAATTGCTAAATCTATTCGTTATTTCTGCTTCCTCTTCTTCTCGTTCTTCTTCCCTTCTTTCTCTTGTTTTTCTTCTTCTATTTCACTTTTTGTGCAAGTAAACTGCAGCAATAGCGATTCCTCATCGGTATCATAGGAGTCCTCAACAGTAAGAGACTCAACATTAGAGCACGACCGGCCTTGACAATGTGTGCATGCCAGGGAACAAAACAGTCCAACTTTTTTGCAACCACATTTGGCATTACATACTTTTTTGCAGTACCAAAATATCGTGTTAAGAAGTTTCTCTTTTTTTATTACGCGTGTTTTTAACGAAACAATCGTGTCACAACTTATCTAAACAAGTAGTTTACATCAAGGTTACACTGGCGTATAAATTTAGGAACTGGGTCTCATTATACCTGAGATTCTCATAGTTTAACTTATATTTTAAATAGGCTAGTTACAATCACCAATATCAAACTAATTTTGGTTATTTAACAGCTTCAGTGATGTTTATACGTCGAAACGTATGCAAAATATGGTTACAAATTATCCAACTTTATAAAGCGTTATATCTCCAAAATGGTGGCTCTTAGGAAAAAAAAAATGCGCAGGACGATGCGCACTTTTGAGATTTCTTTTATAATTATGTTTTAAGCAATTTTGCCGAGTTTCAGCTTCTTATGACTAACCTGCTAATAACTCTCACTTATTTTTGTAAATGACAAGA